TCTTTATTTAAAATTTCATGTGTGCCGTAGTTGTAGAAATAGTAAATGTTTGTTTATATATCAATATCAAACTATCAAAACTACTCGAAAATAAATTCGTTATGATTGATTTTATTGACGATAGGCAATCCAATGTTTAACATCTCTTTTCGTGCATTCGAAGTCTTGGTAAATCGGTGAAGGAGAAGAAAAACTCTTAATGATACTGAAATAATAATCAGGACAGGATGGTATCAAACATGACCTTATGCTCAAACCAACCACTAAAGAAAAGACATGCTCTCGTACATTACTTTAATATAAGCCGTAAAGCGTCGACTATTGATTATGCCATGTTCAGATATGAATTAGAAACGTGAGTATTATTATTATTATTATTATTATTATTATTATTATACCGGTCTCAGAGGTGTTTATCTGCTATCGGTTTAGAGGTTTGATGGGAAGGAATTGTCAAGAAGGCCGTAGGTTTATATTTTCACATCGAAACGACAAAATATTAGTAAGTGCAAGTACTAAAAAAATGAAATAGAAATAAGTGCAAGACTAGAGTATTTTGTCCTCTAACAAGTACATGAACATCTCAAATATTACCAGATGACTAAACTTATCTTCACTTTATTACAAGAACGTGCATGACAACACGATAATAAATGATGGATACTTTACCAGCATACATTTTTTTTAAAGAAAATGTATGTTATAATGACGATGAAAATAAAAAGTCATTATATATAAAGTTTGATTTATTTCAGGTAACTTGTTTTTAAAAAGATAAAGGTAACATATAAATCATAGATCATGTTTCATAATCATTTAACTTGCTCTCTCGTTTCTGCTTTTACAAAAAAAGGACCATGCCATAAAGAGTAAAAAGTATCTTTCATTAATTGAAAAACGCCCTTCTTAAATGTAATCAAAATATGTTCATTCAATATGCATTAAAATTGAAATAAGAATAGATAAGTTGCAAGTAATGCCATTTTGTCAGCAATAAAGATTCTCAGATACTTGGTTTGATATAGTTGTGCTGCATTTATAGATACAAACAATATAAAGCAAGCACGTTTACAAAATGATAAAAACTAAAACGGAATGGAGGAAAAAGATTTTTTATTTTTATATTTGTCGTTAATAACAGAACAGAATTTAATTTTCAGACTTATACACATGTACATTGTCCTGTCAATATACAGATATTCACTCATAATAATATATACATGACATGTGAATAAGTTTTAAGATAACAACAATACATTATTACTTAAGGGTCAGTATAAAAAGAGGAAAACCTTCATACAAAACGACAAAAAACAAATGGCGTTAAATTGTGAAGAGTTAAAGATTATGTTTGTTTATGATAATATATATATTTATAAGACAATTTTCGTAAAATATTGCAGAAATTTGAGAACAAAAATGACATGTCAACCTAGAAACTATTTTTCGCACAAACTTGAAATTGATACTTTATTACTGACTATCATTGAATATATAGTTTATTAATTAGATTTATTTTTCTAGTGTCTGCATAATAATATTCAATATATGCAACATGTGGATCATTTGTATTTTGTGGAAGTAAAGTTAATTATAAGTTAATATTAATATAAACAATATATACAATATCATAAAAAAGATAGACTCACTTCAGTGTTGTTATATTTTTCTGATCCTTCGGGATCATTGATTCCAGCACTTTAAATGTTGAAAATTGAGTACTGTTCAAGTCAGCGCTGGGGGTTGGGAGGGTGTGAGAGATGTTTCACTTTTTCATTATCCCTCATGTACAAAGTCAATCAAACCGAGTCTGCAATCTTCATGCAATTTATGTAATTAATGCTTATGATGGATCACTTTTTCATACTTTTATACTTCACAGCAGCAGATGGGGTCAACTGACATGTCTTAGCTATAAAATTTGTCTCGTACTTCACTTCAGTGAAGTTAAACTTTTCTGGTCCTTCGAGATTATTGATGTTCAGCCCTTTTCAGGGACAGCTCAAACCGGTGCTACGAGGTGTGAGGGATTTTGCGCTTTTTCTTTATCCCTCATGTACAAACTCAAACAAACCGAGTCTGCAATTTTTATATAATTTTATTGTAATAATGCTTCCGATGGATCACTTTTTTCCAGACTTTTATATGCGAAATTATAAATCAACGTAAGTTTGCAGAATGATTTAATATTTTCAACCGATGAGCATGCATGTTTAAGAAATAAAACCATGCCTGTTTCTCTTAACTTAAAGTTGATTTAAAATATTTATAGAAGTACACCACATATATTTAAGGTTTGATCAATATAAGATTGAGTTATTCCCCTTTAGCCACGACAATAAGCTAAAAGGCATTGTTACCGGTAACATTATAAAGAAATGTTTTATATTCTATCTTTATAACTATCAGGATCTACAGAAATGTTCTGGTAAACTATCAATATCTGGATGACTTGTGGACATGTAGTATTTCGGTGAAAAACATGCAAAGTTTTTATAACTGTTGAAGTCGTATGCATACAAAGCACATGTTTGCTTAAAAATAGTTCACTCTTTTGATTAAAGGTACATTCAAACAAACAGGAATTGGTCGTATTATTTACTTTAACCACGGATACATTTCATTTTTTTTAACTTTTAGCCTGTATTTACGCTTGACAAGTATGATATTACTTTTAAATGATTTGCGAGAGTTTTTACCAACTTGGTCGTTATATGATACGCTCCCTACTAAATAATGTTATGCTTTAATGGAATAGCATGTGACATAAGCTTTTACAAAAGAAATATTATCATAAATATATGTAATAGAAGAACAGCCTATGTGTTGAATAATTAAAGTATCCAGTTTATCATATTCTTTGTTACATTGATAAACGTTATAGATAACAGTCTGTTCTGTGAAGGGTTTCAAAAGAACGGTTTCAATGATATGAAAGTATTATACACTAAAGATCATAATGTGTAATCAACGTGTCAATCAATATCATAAAGTTGATGAAAAGCTTTAGTTACAGCAAACGTTGCTAAATTAACTTTCTCTAAAACAAATTTGGAATATCACTGATCTGCTCTGGATAAGAGGAATGTTCATTAGATATTGAAAAAGCCAACATTCATTTCCATGGGTGTTCGTTATTGAATAACATTAGAGCCTTCACTGCTCCTTGTCAAAGGCTGTAAAATACTTTTCTTTGGGTTCATCTTGTAACTTTGACTTTACCATGGTATATACGTATATTGTGACCTGAACATCAGAAAATTTGTTTTCTACTTTCAGTTCCGCCCTTTCCTCAGCTCAATAACAATTAGAATTCACTACGGGCAAAGTCATGGCTGTAGGTTAGAATGAAGAGGCTTCAAATATGATTTTCTCTCATAAATGCTTGGTAAAGGTCCTTGTTTGAGGTAAATTAGCATTGTCATAAAGAATCATTAATTGTATAATAAATACATCATTTGCATTTTAATTGACAAATAGATAAGGAAAATTATCATTGTAATAAATAATCATTAGTCGTATAATAAATACATTGTTTGCATTTTAGGGGACAAACTTCTTAAGTAAAATAACATTTAATACTATACGTAATGAATATATATAAAAATATTGATGACATATTAAAGTCATAGAACAGTAGATACCTATTTGAATGTCGATGCTCTAGATTCATAAATTTCTATGGACATACAATATCTAGTGTAAAATTTGATACAATTGCCAGAGAGATTTTGCTACACCATAATTTGTAAACAAACACCAAAAACTTTCAATGATATCCTAAATCAGTGTCACACAATAAGTTGATAGATTGTGTTGTGTCAGAAGGTGTCTTCTAACGGGAGAAACGAATACTGTTATATAAAGACAAGATTACAAAATATGTAGCAAGATGAAGAAACGGAGACAAAATAGGATCCCCTGATCTTGTAAAATAAAACCAGTTTCATGTAACATTTTTTTGAACGTTAATTTATTAAACCCAAGATTCATAAGAATAGATAGTTGTCCATATTACTTCGGATGTATATTTTTATAGAAGAAAATGAATCCTTTCTTTAGTAATTGTGACATTTTTAGTTAGAATGATAAAATGATACAAATGATAAAATAGGATTGGTTGTTGTAAAGCCAAAACCTTGAAATTACATTTGTTCTCTATTTTAATAATTTCGAAGATAACTTTCATAAGATTGAAATTTAAACCACTTAATTATAACACGTGTTTGAATAGACTACGGTTAATTCAATTAGAAAAAAATATTTGATATTAACAAATTTGTTGTATGTTCCAACGAACAAGCAATTGAAAAAATACTCTTCATCTTACAGGCATGGGAATGGTTTCATTAAAAGAATAAAAGAATTACTAATACAAAATGAATTTGTTTCCTATCTAAATTCTTCGAAGTATTTTAAATGTACATGAATTGGTATGTTATTGTCGTTCAGGTCTTAATTGTAAAGCTATAGAACAAAACAGCGAGTGGTAATGAAGCTGCGGTAACTGTAACTGTAACTTATAAAGTTCTTAAAGTTACAATTTCCGTTACAAATATTAGTGATATCCTTCTTTAACCATTAAGTTGCTGAATTTCTCCAAATTCCATTTTTTTTATTCCATTATAAATTTTGGGGCTATCAAGACGAAAATGTAAAGTTAGACTTTAGAGACTGCAGTGATGTACAGGATGGTCTTGCTGATGGCAAAAACTATTCATTTTCAGTTTCAGCAGGCTAAGTGTTTAATGACATATATATAGACAAAATGTTCCATGGCGGCTGATTCAAATATATTGAATATTTTATAACGCTGCTCTGAAGAACATATTCACCACATGCTGATAATATGCATGATGCATGATGTAATATTGTAGACAAAATAGTGAGCCCAACTCATATAGAATGTGACATATTTTATATCTTATATCTTTTTTATATATCTTGCCTTAAAATATTAAACAAATACCAACAACAATAAAAACATAGCAAGACATTATCAGTTTCTGTGTTATTTTATTCAATCATTTTGTTAACAAAAAACAAATAAAACAATATCACAAAACAAATACTACATGTATTATAAATACTTAGAAACTAAAATGTATGTCGATGATTCTGACGATCACACTTTAACACAGAATAGTCGTCTTAGGGTAAGTTTTTTCATAACTTTATTTCTAAAGCACATAAATCATTTGTCCGTCTGAACAAAATAATGTCAACATTTGAGGCATGGTTACTGTTTGCTTAGTTAATCTTTTTAGTAACAATAATTAGCAAAAAGAAACAGCACAAAACTTATATAATGACGGTGAAGACTTTTAAGACAGTCATTTGAGTCATAGTTGAATATATTTAAAGGCATCAAACATTGACCACAATTAACGGCCGTATAGTCGTTTATGTGACTCAATATGTCACAATTGTTTAGCGGAACATCAATAAGAATGTCAAGTCCCTTGGGGTGCTGAAGTAGTATCTTAGGTATAAATGTCGGCATCTGAAAATATACATCAAAGTCAAGCAATTAGGAAAACAACTTCTTCAACCTTTACAATCTATAGATAAGTATCACATACGATGTATTGAATATCAAAACCTGACAAATTTAAGTAAGGTGTCTACTTTAAACTAATACATCCCTTTTTACTTGTATGTGTGCCTATTAATTCACTCGAATTGCTTCAAATATCAGTTACAGAAAAGCGTTAGCGTTGATGTATCTCAAGAAGCTACAAATGCAAGATGGTATTAAGTAACGTTTCAGTCAAACCAATTTGTGATAGATAATTCAACCTTCGGCCATTTAAGATGGACTGGCGTAACAATATCTGACATGAAAGGTCATTGTTAAAGAGTGAACATAACTTTTCGATGTTGGATGCTTTGAAATCCAAGTTTGATATTAATTAGATGTCGAATTACAATTGAAAAGAAATTCAAAAGAACATTTTTACAACAATATTTGGGCAACTTGGTCAACTTGTTTTAGTCAATTTCCCTTCAGTTAAATGTAACTTTCAATATATAATTATGACCTATTCCTGATTGATTTTTTCATTCTGTAACTATTTAAAATTTAAGAATGCCTTTTACAACTAGCAGAAAATGTAAACTTTTCCTGTGCAATCGTCCAGTACTAAATTCCGCAACTGGTAAATTTCTTTTAATAATCAGCGAGCTATTTGAGCATAAAATTAATGATATAAGCGCCATTCCAATAAATAACTTTTTTCCTGTTGTTGTGTTTTTGTTTGTTTTTGTTTTGTTTTTGTTTTTTTGTTGTTTTTTTGTGTTTTTTTTTTTCATAGTTTACTGGGATACGATTTCCATTATAATTTAGTGTCCTTAAATTTGACGTATTTATTACTAGTAGTTATATAAAATGTAAGGATGTAAGGTTTAATACATATTAAGATGAATAGCTTTAGTTTGAAGTAAAACCAATTGTTGTGTATCTTTCTTCTTGTAAAGGCATTTTAACAGTAAACACGATAAAGAACAAATATCATTTTTCCATACCTATATCAAAATCAGAATCACATCTCGGATTTTTCTGAAAGATTTGGTTCTGTTCCGCTAAATTTGAATTGTCTTTTGTCATAAAATCTCAATAAAATAGGGTTTTGAGGATGGAAGTTTTTTAAATGCATGAAATGTTCTCCGGGTTCTGTGGTGGTGTGTCCGCAATCTTCGCAAACATACAGCTTTGCTCGCCTTTCCTGAAATATATTGCCCAGATATTGATATTCAATTGAGTTGCGTCATTATTCAATAATACATTTGTAAAATATGTATATACTTAGTTATTCATAAAGCATTTATGAAGAAGAACAAATTATTATTTAAGCAATTAAAGACAAATCTATATGTAGTCTGACATTAAACAGAATTATTTAGATCTATTATGGTCACGATCATGGGGCCATGGTCCCTGAAATGTCACCAATATTGGTTGGTTCCAAGAATCGGACTGGATAGTTATCCATATACGTTTTAAGCTTTTTTGATAATGGGGGTAAAATAGATATGTTTAAACTAAAAATTTAAGTAGAAAATATAATCAGTGTTGAAAGACAATAAAATTAAAAACAGAAAACGAAACGTATAAATCACCATAAATCGGTTGTATTTTGTTTTCATTAACGTCATGTGATCAAAGAAATGTAACGTGTAATTTTGTACTCCTTACCTTGAATTCGAACTTATTATCGTATCCATGAACCTTTTTACAATGAGACTCCAAAGAACATCTCTGTGTGAACGATTTGCCGCAACTATCACATTTATACGGCCGGACACCTGTAATTAGGCATGTAATATATTATTTCAAACGACTTTTATTCACATCCCCTCTAAAATGTATTTTGTTCACGAATTTGATCAATCAATGATTTTTATTAGACTAACCTAACATACATAATTAGCATGCAATATAAAATCATAATTATAAGTTACATGTATAACAAAATGACTTCTTTCTTGTTGAATGACTTAACTTTTCTAGAATAAATATTCCTTTCACAAAAGTATTACGAACTAAATGAAACTTGGTGCATATTAATATAATACATAAAAGAGAAAGTAATACGGTTTGTTTTTTAAAAGTAAACCCAGACTATTTTCAATACTTATATATAACAGATTTTATAAGGACTAATAAATAGTTAGTTTTGCTTAAAAAAATAGTCGTAGCTCTTTATTTTACGGCGAATTTCATAGTTGTGTTTGTAAAATATATGCGTTGTATTTAGGCTTTAAATACTATTGTTTTTTTAAACAATTCTTATTGCGTGCGCCCATTATGAATACACTATACAAATAATTTAAGTCCCTTTCAGAAGATGACATTTGAAAATACTTCAAACTAAAGACGGAAGCAAAATATCTTCTGAAACTTTATTCATTTGAAGTTTTTCAAAAAAAACAAGAATGTTGTTATTAAAAAGAAACACACATATTTCAAAACAATAAAGAGCTGTCCTGCTTTTGGTTGATTTACTGATAAATAAATTACAAAATTTCGGTAAACTATAAAGGTAAAAATCACCTGTATGTGTTCTTGTATGCCTCTTGAGGTCAAACGTGTCGTTAAAACCTTTACCACAAAACGTGCATAGAAAACGTTTGACGTCACTGTGGCATTTTAAATGACGGTTTAATAGACGCTGTAAATGGAATGACTTTTGGCACAGTTTGCAAACGAATCGATCTGCCTCGCTATGGATTGCTGAAATAGAAACAAAAAATAATGCGATATTTAAAGTAATAAGGAAGATGAAAATTCGAAATATGTAACTTATGTATCCGATTTCTTCAATACTTAACCGTGAAAGATAACGAAAAAGATCTCAAGTAATGATTACCGTTACTAAAACATAGCACAGTTAAATGTCCTTGTACCCCTTTACTACTTTATCAATCCTAAAAAAGGTGATCTTAAAGGGTTTTAATCGCAAAGCAATAAAGAAAAATGAACTATTAAAATGACTTTGAATTCTAAGTAAGATGGATGTTAGTTTGTTTCCGTTACTAATATATACTACAGTATCTAGATTTCCTTTAGATAGTGGTGAAATTTAACTGCAACCACCATTATTACTAAGTAGGTTTTTTCTCTCCATCAAAGTACTTATAACTAATGATAATCCTATGTAAATATATACGCGCCACATGATATCCTTAATTGCAAATCTAGACTATCACATTTGATAAATTACACGGTTCCCTGTTGCGGATTTTGAACGGAAGATACCAATTAACGGTATATAAGAAAATGAAACTGTGATGAAAATAGATACAATGACAAAACATATTTTATGCTGTCTCATCTCTGCTGAGCTGACAAGGATGGTGTTGAAATATTTATTTGGTATATTGGTAAAACCCATGTATACTTTGAACATAAAACTAAAACGTTGTGGGCCGTGCATATTCCGTATATATCAGGTTTTACATTAACAAAACTTAATCAAGGTAAACAAAATTCATATTGTTAAAACTTATGAGGAACAAATGGGGCCCATGCCTTATAGTATGTACAGTCTTATCCATTATTCTAGAAATGATGGTAAAATTAGAATGTTGAATATATTGTATTGTACACCTTCATAAGGACACAATCATTTTACATTTTGTTTCAATCAGGGCCTATCAAACTCTGCATGGTAAAGATTTCAAAACTAACGCGTTGCAACTATGATAACATTTATTTTTTGAAAGTGTTTGTTGAAAATGAAGGTTTTAGAGTATTAATTAAGATAATATTTACCAATAGATTCATGTCTGGATTCCACTTTGGTTTGAGTAAGCAATGGGTTCTTTATTCCATATCCGCCATTTACAAGCTCCACACCTTTTACAATAGGTGTCTGAAAGAGTTAAACAAAGGTTTCTTGTACTATTTAACAAGTACTATGTTAATAATTGCGATCATTTGTTTAATAAGTAAATAAATGATAATACTCATCACGAAGTTCAAATTTATAAGTCGTAAAAACATATCGATTACGTATATACATGAAGACAATTTATTTTGTAACAGTATGTGTTGAATTTTGTGAAAAACAAAAACTATAAAAGATTCTCCGCATGTTTAACTAATCGTCCTGGGACTGTTTACTCCATTCGCACATATTTTGAGATATGAAAGATTTGTGCAATAGTTTTAAAGCTCTTACTCACCCGAAACGTTCGGATTGGTTCAATGGTCTTCATCATAGGTAACGTATAGGCTCCGGTGTTGCACTGCATAATATTAGTAAGTCGATTTGAGTCAAAGTTAATTGATTTTGTTTCTTTTAGTTCTGTCAACCCAAAGTGTGACGGAGAAACCACAGGAGCCATTTGAGGCACCGGTCTCCAAATACGTGAACCGGTGTAAGTTTGTTGTTCACGTGACGTATCTGTCCGTTTCGTAAAGTTTGAAGAGTTTTTAGTTTTAGATGGTGACATTTGTGACGTCAACGAGTCTTTTGGGACTTTTGGTTTTGATGTAATATGATGATCGAGTCCATCAGTGAGTCTCTCTGTCACGTGTTTCATTCGACAGTTTTCTTCAGATGTATTGATGCTATTAGGTGTTAGAGTGAGACGTTCGTCAGACAAAGTTTTCCTTTTCGTTGCTTCTGTTGGAATATTATTGTTTCTGTCTGGTGAGGCGAGACTGTCAGTTATATCTGAAGGCGACACTGGTATTTGATATGGGGCTACATGTCTTGGAGATACATAAGGAAAACAGGGTAATGGATAATCTGGGGATGCAAGCTCGTTTTGACGAAATGGAAAAGAAGAAATAGGTGACAGCGATAACGGTCTGCTTGGTGGATAAAATAATGAACCAAAGTTGAATGTGTGTATATCTGTGTTAGAATATGGTCTCGCAAGATGATTTAAGTGTGAGTTTTTTGAACCGTTATTATGTTGATGCTTCTCATTTTTAGTTTTTGATGTCGATTCATCTGTTTTTAAATTGTGAACCAATCTATAATCTTCTCTGTACATTTCTTGTACATTTCTTGTCTGAAAATCGTTGTTCTTTACCAATGGCAGGAAAAATTGTTTCCGCTTCACGACTCTCTTATCCATGTCTCCGTCTATTTCATCATATGTGTCAACAGAATCATTTTCCATCGTAGGGGTTGGTGATGGTAATCGCACCATTGACGGATCTAAAATATAACAAAGAACCTCATGATTATTAAGAAGTACAATGGTTAACTGTACGAGTATGTAAAGCAAATGCTCTGATAAATACTAAGAAGTAGAACATAAAAAGATTAAATATATACCTTGCTATAGTTCAACAAGAATGTCACCTCTGATTTGTAGTTTGACTTAATATTATTCTACAATGTTTCTTCTCAAGGGGCAGTTATCAACAGTAAATCACTCTGATATAGGAGCATACACGGTCATGGAAGGTACTAGAAATAATAGTCATACGTGTCACTGTTATAAATCCAGGCCTGCTTTCAAATCAATGCGGTCTGGCTGGGCTCTATACAATTGCCATTGCCTTCTAAATTTTGATATCGCAATCGTTAACTTTTTTATCGTAACTTATCGTACGACAAAAATATGAGATACTTGGAAACTTAATGATACAAATTTAGCAGGGTATGGGTTAATATCCGATATAAACTGTATGTAATATTAACAAGATTGTCATCTGTTGACGTTTATATCTGTTAAACTTGGGCTATTGTTAACGAGGGGAAAGTACACATTTATTCGGGTACAAACTTTAGTGCTCTCCTAAACTTGTCGAAATAATGTATTCTGATTGCCACTAGTGAAACTTGGGAGTATTGGTTAAAAGTGACACTAGCCTTAGGAAACATCGATTGTTTTGTAAATGGGATGGGGCCAATTCAATTAAAGAAACTGAATAGAAAAGAAAATACTTGTGCTTGGATTTCATGTGGAAAATATGGGATTCAGCAAAATCATTACGTAGTATTCATTAAATCTCTTTATAAAGTATCTCATATATAAATACTTCACGATAAAAAGAAACTTTTAAAATGCTTATTTAAAGGCTGATTTAATTTTAAAACATAAATTTGTGTAAACAGGTTTCATTGTGATTTTAAAGCAACTTTTGCTACTTTATGCAATGAAAATATATTAAGTCATACAACTCTTTCGGAAAAGGATGAAACATACGTATATGTGAAGTGCATAGTGTTTTAAACTAATTTGACAATTAGCAATATAATATTATAAGATAAACTAATTTACACAAAATACATGAACTTCTTCAGAACTTTGACATAAACGTTTTAAAATGTCATATAAATACACACTGCATTGTCAGAATACCAGTTCAGTGGTCTTAAAGACTAAAACCACTATAGAACAGAACTGTTCTGTCTGTTCTTTTCTGTTCTGTTCTTAAGGACTAAATATACAATCATTATAGAGCAGGACAAGAATACGCATGTGTGCAGACTCGCACGACTCTATCACTAGCTCACCTAAACGTGCTATCGGAACATTGAAGGTTAACGATATCAATATGAAGCAAAGAACTTTAATGAGTAACATTAATCCTCAATATATTTTACAAAACGCTACATACAGTTTAACAAAACTTCATTCTTTTTAAAAACAAAGCAACATAACAAGAAATCACAAAACGTACATGGTTAAACACCAACAAGTATTCATCAATCAATCAGTTCAATTCTTAATAAATTGATCATTTTAGGGGAGTCATTGATAATTATTTTATAAATAGTACTCATATAGTACTCATATAGTACTCATATCATATACATAAACTCAGAGGGAATAATTCTCTATCTATAAAACATCCTTACACGTTTTGTCTACTACCATATGTTATTTCAATTAAGCTGAAATAGTGGTCCTAGCCCATTTAAGTGGTAATTTTAAGCCCGCCAATTGGTTTGATAACTTCGATACTTACAGAAATGTCAATTTATTTCAAGAGGTCAATCTATTTATGGCAATAATAAGCATTTATGACTGAAATAAATTATACTTTAAATTGATAGTTAAATAGGATAACATACCTTCTTTCTTCTTGCGTTCTCCATTCCTTTCTATTCCTGGGTACCGATGTTCTTTCCTATATTTCCTACCAGCTAGAAACGACTTTGGCATTGTTGAAACGTTTTTAGCTACTATCCCTATATCAACGTTTTTAGTTTGTACTACTTATAAATTATGCTTGAAAAAGAGTATAAAAGAATTTTTAAAGTACTGCTATTTTTCAGAGATCAATTTTAATTTATGTTCATACTCTGAGACATCTTTAAATATCCGACCTTTCAAAAACAGCTTTTTTTATTATATATATATTACAAACTATAATTTTTAACTCTTTTCGCGTTCTGATCAAACTTGATATAAAAGCAAAACTAGTGAATTTAGAAAATTGTTACTACGGGATTTCATTTGCATGCAACATTAAACCACTAAACTATATGACAATAACGGACTCAATTTAACAGTTTCCTGTCCAACTACCCGTTAAGGTAGCCAACCAATGCGGGTGTTTAAAACATAAATTTACTCTTCATGATACGCCCCGTTACCCAGGTAACGGTTACATTACGGTAAGACACCGTTTTATTTGTTACTTTTTCCGCAAATAGCGATGTAATAGTATTGAAGGGGTAAAATGATATTTTGAAATGTTGAAACTTTAAACAGTTTTAACATCAATTCTTCGCATTCATTCTGTTTGGCAATCAATAAAGATGTATCTATTTTAAAATATTACTTATGCAGTGAACTCTATTATCACATAATTATTAAGCAGTGAGCATAACGTTATTCTAAAGGTACTTGTTAAAAGAAAAGGGCGCAGTTAATTGAAAAGAAATCATATCTAATACTACAACACATTTCTTTAAGGAGACAAGATAACTTAACATGTTTTGGACATACGTTACTTGATTTCTGACAATTGATCAAAAATATACATACATGTATACTAAATATTTACGTTCATATTTAGATTAAATATTCTCATATGATATCCTGTCATTATTTTATAAACAGTACTGTTTAAAATGTTAATTATATCAAAATTAAGGTAATCTGGCCACATATAAAACCTAGCTTTATCCAAGCATACTTACTGTTGAAATCATATAACATTTACGAGAACATATAATGTTATTAAATATATGGGAATTCATCGTGAGCGGGTGAGATGATAAAATGAATCATTTTGTTACATACATGTATATACAAACAGTTATATATTTTGCTTCATAAATCACATAATTCTACTTCTTGAATTAGACGGATAAATTTGACAGTCGCTTTATCATTTCCAGTGTCTCGAATTAAAGTCATACTGATGCGAGTAAATATACATGTATATTAACACTATACACAAGACGATGTTTAATATTTTTTAGATATGTAGGTATTGTTTGTGCATATTTTGCTTACATGATAAGTTAATTACAGGAGCAACTTGATCTGAATTTTCTGTTTGGCTCTTAAAGTTTTCTCTAGGCCGTATCACATTCGACGCTCCAGCGCTTTTTGCAATCCCAGCAAAATTTACTCAAGGTAGAAACACGTTAAAAGATCAGTTTCCTGAATAAATTATATAATGCTCCCATTGTATAAGTTACATAACGCACAAAATTTGCATAGCAAATCATAATTCTAAGAAATGGTAATAATGAAGTTTATTTTGAAATAACACGTACATTCAAGATGCATTTCACTTGTAAGAAGATATTTCAAATTCATTTTAATTTGTAAATCACCGTATTTCTCTTCCATGTAAACATTTGTTATATATGTTTATGTCCTATCCTAATTCCATACTTTTTTCTATTGAACATACAGATAATATTTCAAGAATATTTGTTAATTATTTTTAATGTTAATGTCATAAAAGGTAAATTTGATGGCTTTGTTTAATTAAAAACTTTTTTTCAGGACGAAATATTCATATGCACTACAAATGATGACAATACTAGACAAATAGCATTTAGATCCTGGTCGCAATTGGTCAACGTGAGATATTGTAAAGAAAAAGCGGAAATTCCGGCGTCGGTCTTCAACAGGCATTAACAGTGGTCTTCTCCTCTAAAACGGCCTGTCATATTTACTTCAAATTCGTAGCATCAATATACCCCTCTTCTTGAAAGTTGCTAATATTGTACCAACTGGATCTTTTTCCGAGACCGCCAGAGAATCTTCACATGAATAAATGGATGAACCATTACCGCAGTTAGTTTGGAGAATTCTTTAAAGTTGATTTAACAAATATGTTAAATCAAACTTGTTCGTCCATTTGTAGGACTCTCCAGAGTTGGAGATAGAGAAGATGTTTTAAATAAACCGAAATGGATGGATCATCGACAAACTTTGACTGTAGCATCTATCAAGCAAAGAAATAGTTGGTCCCTTTAACAGTCACCAATGTTTTAAAAAAAACTTTAAACATCACGTTCAAATGAGCTAGTAAAATATTTACCAATATTTGAAATATCTTATGAAAGTCCATTATTAATTTTGCTAAAAAGAATTTAAGGGGTCACTAAAATAGAAAAGTCTATAACATCTTTTCCGTAAGCGGATAGGTCTACATTGGACTCATTTTCCATAAATATTTGAAATTGATAAAAAAAAAACCATAGCAACATGTCTTTTGGATATTCATATTTTAAAAATACATTCATAAAACATTGCTTGTAATAAAAGAAAATACAATTAAAAATATTTATTGTGATACAAGCATGCCAGCAAAGACCAATTCACTTTAATAAAAAAGCGGATTTACTTTCATAAAAACATTTATAGATATATAAAGTGACACTTTTGTGTCAAAAATACAGAAAAAAAGAAAACAAAGTGAACATTTTTGACACTTAAAATTTTATTCTTTTAAAACATGTGTTATTATGTACTACATCTAAAAGAACTCAACTGAGATTCGAAAGCCTAAAAACGTTAAAGTTGAATTTCTTACATAAATCAGCTAGGATACTTATAACAGAAGAACGATGTGCAAAAGAATAATTGAATATACTCAAAAAATGAATAAAAATTCGAATTTTTCTCCTACCCTAAGCCCGATTTAGTGAAAAGCGTTCCAATCGTTTTCAATTTTGTGTCAAATTTCAAAATTAGAATAAGAATTCTAGAAAAAAACGTAGCAAGCGAATGATCCGAAATTGTGCTCTCAAGTTATTGGCCTAGACCTAATTCAAATGGAACATTAATTTTGAAAAAATCATTTCCAGTCACATTATGTCAAAGAAACGCGTTCTAAAAGATGTTGATAAAATTAGATACAGCCTGTATAAAAAAAACCCTGGTCTATATGTATATATATAAGTATCAGTACATTGTATGAGTGAGTGAGTGAGTGAGTGAGTGAGTGAGTGAGTGAGTGAGTGTGTGAGTGAGTGAGTGAGTGAGTGAGTGAGTGAGTGAGTGAGTGAGTGAGTGAGTGAGTGAGTGAGTGAGTGAGTGAGTGAGTGAGTGAGTGAGTGAGTGAGTGAGTGAGTGAGTGAGTGAGTGAGTGAGTGAGTGAGTGAGTGAGTGAGTGAGTGAGTGAGTGAGTGAGTGAGTGAGTGAGTGAGTGAGTGAGTGAGTGAGTGAGTGAGTGAGTGAGTGAGTGAGTGAGTGAGTGAGTGAGTGAGTGAGTGAGTGAGTGAGTGAGAATCATATCTAATACTACAACACATTTTTTTAAGGAGACAAGATACATTAACATGTTTTGGACATACGTTACTTGATTTCAAACAATTGATTACAAATATACATACATGTATACTAAATATTTACGTTCGTATTTAGATTAAATAGTTTTATATGATATCCTGTCATTATTTTATAAACAGTACTGTTTAAAGTGTTAATTATTTCAAAATTAAGGTAATCTGGCCACATATAAAACCTTTATCCAAGCATACTTGCTGTTGAAATCATATAACATTTACGAGAACATATAACGTTATTAAATATATGGGCATGCGAGATGATAAAATGAATCATTTTGTTACATACATATGTACATGTATATATAAAACAGTTATATATTTTGCTTCATAAATCACATAATTCTACTTCACAAGGTGATGTTGTTTTTTAAGAGATGGGTATGTATTGTTTGTGCGTATTTTGCTTACATGATAAGTTAATTACAGGAGCAACTTTATCTGAATTTTCTGTTTGGCTCTTAAAGTTTTCTCTAGGTCGTCTCACATTCGACGCTCCCGCGCTTTTTGCAATCCCAGCAAAATCTATTCAAGGTAGAAATACGTTTAAAGATCAGTTTTCTGCATAAATTATATATGCTCCCATTGTATAAGTTACATAACGCACAAAATTTGCATAGCAAATCATAATTCTAAGAAATGATAATTATGAAGTTTATTTTGAAATACCACATTCAAGATGTATTTCACTTGTCAGAAGATATTTCAAATTCATTTTAATTTGTAAATCACCGTATTTCTCTTCCATGTAAACATTTGTTATATATGTTTATGTCCTATCCTAATTCCATACTTTTTTCTATTGAACATACAGATAATATTTCAAGAATATTTGTTAATTATTTTTAATGTTAATGTCATAAAAGGTAAATTTGATGGCTTTGTTTAATTAAAAACTTTTTTTCAGGACGAAATATTCATATGCACTACAAATGATGACAATACTAGACAAATAGCATTTAGATCCTGGTCGCAATTGGTCAACGTGAGATATTGTAAAGAAAAAGCGGAAATTCCGGCGTCGGTCTTCAACAGGCATTAACAGTGGTCTTCTCCTCTAAAACGGCCTGTCATATTTACTTCAAATTCGTAGCATCAATATACCCCTCTTCTTGAAAGTTGCTAATATTGTACCAACTGGATCTTTTTCCGAGACCGCCAGAGAATCTTCACATGAATAAATGGATGAACCATTACCGCAGTTAGTTTGGAGAATTCTTTAAAGTTGATTTAACAAATATGTTAAATCAAACTTGTTCGTCCATTTGTAGGACTCTCCAGAGTTGGAGATAGAGAAGATGTTTTAAATAAACCGAAATGGATGGATCATCGACAAACTTTGACTGTAGCATCTATCAAGCAAAGAAATAGTTGGTCCCTTTAACAGTCACCAATGTTTTAAAAAAAACTTTAAACATCACGTTCAAATGAGCTAGTAAAATATTTACCAATATTTGAAATATCTTATGAAAGTCCATTATTAATTTTGCTAAAAAGAATTTAAGGGGTCACTAAAATAGAAAAGTCTATAACATCTTTTCTGTAAGCGGATAGGTCTACATTGGACTCATTTTCCATAAATATTTGAAATTGATAAAAAAAAAACCATAGCAACATGTCTTTTGGATATTCATATTTTAAAAATACATTCATAAAACATTGCTTGTAATAAAAGAAAATACAATTAAAAATATTTATTGTGATACAAGCATGCCAGCAAAGACCAATTCACTTTAATAAAAAAGCGGATTTACTTTCATAAAAACATTTATAGATATATAAAGTGACACTTTTGTGTCAAAAATACAGAAAAAAAGAAAACAAAGTGAACATTTTTGACACTTAAAATTTTATTCTTTTAAAACATGTGTTATTATGTACTACATCTAAAAGAACTCAACTGAGATTCGAAAGCCTAAAAACGTTAAAGTTGAATTTCTTACATAGATCAGCTAGGATACTTATAACAGAAGAACGATGTGCAAAAGAATAATTGAATATACTCAAAAAATGAATAAAAATTCGAATTTTACTCCTACCCTAAGCCCGATTTAGTGAAAAGCGTTCCAATCGTTTTCAATTTTGTGTCAAATTTCAAAATAAGAATAAGAATTCTAGAAAAAAAACGTAGCAAGTGAATGATCCGAAATTGTGCTCTCAAGTTATTGGCCTAGACCTAATTCAAATGGAACATTAATTTTGAAAAAATCATTTCCAGTCACATTATGTCAAAGAAACTGGCAAAAATCAGGCATGCTTAGACACTGTGTAATATTTGTGATGCACTTCAAATCTTCAAACAATATTGGCAATAATAGAGTAGAGATGTCGGGGGAAATAGTAAGTTTGTAAACAGCCATTTAATATCAATAGTATATGAAAGATTTGATGCAAATTGAAAAAGAATATCCATTAAACGTTGTAAAATACCAAACAAACGCTTCACATTATATTGTCGTGATTTACATTGTACCTTATTTTCATATAATTCCTTAACAAAGGGTATTCCCTTTAATACAATGGAATGTCGCCAAAATGACAGCTAAAACGTGTCTAAAACAAAAGACTAAGTTAGAATATAAAAACAAACAGATCAAGTTAAGATAGTATGTTTGACCCCTCATACATGGATCACATTCTTTCTATTAACAAACGCGTTCTAGATCCTTATTTTTCCCTCCTCAAAAAATAATGTCACTAGAAAAAGGCAAACAATGAGGAAGCAATAAAAAACAAGCTGATGAAAAATCTAGATAATATTCTCCTATGCAACATCGAAATTTTGTATCATTTTTGTACATCAATAGATTTATTGTCATGTTTCTAACTTGCTGTTCATTTAAGCTTAAATACTGCTGTAACTTTTAGGTGACATCAGATCTGTTGGACATAATTATTTTCGGTCTTAGTGATCACAACGGTGCCTATATACCATGTCACTTTTTTCTGTATGGGCAGAAATGTTTCATTTTTTGGGATTAATTAAACTTAAAACCCGTTCGTTTTAGTGAATAATAAATACATGTACATAAAATGTTTCCTTTGAAAAAAAGTCATTATTTTTTCGTGAATTAAAGTGAAGCTGCGTGTTTGAACGTTCAAAAATACAAGCGGTTTCACTTAACAAAACAAATACTACTGATTATTTTCTCAAGAAACATTCTATATAATGGTTACTTAATAAAATTAGAGGGCTCTTCACATTATCCCATGTAAAATAATAAAATATTAACAAACTAATATAAGTACCTGAAACGATATTTGTATTTGTTTTTTCACCAATAGTCACGTGGTATTGACACTGTAGTGATATAGAAGCTTGGATCAGTCAGTTTCTTAGAAGCTTGCAGTATTATTTTCAAGCACAAGAAGACATTTGGGACACAATTCAATACTACATAAAGTGAGCTTCGAGATGGGTATCAAAACGGCTAGACCCTAAAATGGAATGAAGTAAAGAAAATATAGATTTCAAAGATAGGATGCTATTTCACTGAAATGAAATTAGATAAAGATAGCAATTCCAACCCCTTAAACGGATCATGGCTGTCATACTATAGGTGTATCAAATGTTACCCCTGATGACCATCTTCGGTGATAAAATCGTGTTCCTTTCTCGTTATAATAACATTTCAAAATGTCTTGATGCATATATGACTCCATGAAATAAAATACTCTTAAAAACAATAGTCAAATCAGTGTAATGAATACATTCTCAAAATAGCATTGACGTCCTTTTTACAATGTTCAAAATATATCTTAAATAATCTTCAAGAAGAACCCCGGTCACGTAACGTTACATCCGTGACGGTTTTGAGTAAATCTATTAGGTTGTTTCCCAAAAGAAAACTTGAAGAATTGCTGATTCAAAAGATGCTGATAAAATTATATACAGCCTGTATAAAAACCCTGGTCTATATATATACATTGTATATGCATGGAAAGAAAATGATTCCTTAAGAAGGCTGAACATCGCGAAATTGAAAATGTTGCAGGCTAGGTTTGATTGAGCCTGTTCATGGACGGTAGTGGCAATATTTGCAAGCTACAGTCCGCGCCCCTAGCACCGGCTGAAGCAGTATTCGACATTTTAACATATATACGGCAAAATCATCTACAGATTTGTTCATACATTCAAACTTACGCTGAAATCTAATTATTCGTTGCTTAACCTTGTATGTAATAAAAAGAGTGAGTGAGTGAGTGAGTGAGTGAGTGAGTGAGTGAGTGAGTGAGTGAGTGAGTGAGTGAGTGAGTGAGTGAGTGAGTGAGTGAGTGAGTGAGTGAGTGAGTGAGTGAGTGAGTGAGTGAGTGAGTGAGTTGAGTGAGTGAGTTGAGTGAGTTGAGTAAGTGATGAGTGAGTGATGAGTGAGTGATGAGTGAGTGGTGAGTGATGAGTGATGAGTGAGTAGTGAGTGAGTGAGTGATGAGTGAGTGAGTGAGTGATGAGTGATGATTGAGTGAGTGATGAGTGATGATTGAGTGAGTGAGTGAGATAGTGAGTGAGTGAGTGATGAGTGAGTGAGTGATGAGTGAGTGAGTGAGTGAGTGAGTGAGTGAGTGAGTGAGTGAGTGAGTGAGTGAGTGAGTGAGTGAGTGATGAGTGAGTGAGTGAGTGAGTGAAACTGTATTAACTTCAGACGGTGATAGGGTTGGAGATGTTATAAACCAGAGATGGGGGGTTATAAACATAAGATTGTGCTAGAAGTGCGAAAGATTACAAACTTGAGACGGTGCTAGAGAGTAAACTCGGGACGGTGCTATAGCGGCGTGAGAGGTTACTGACCTTAGTTGGTGCTAAGAGCGTGAGAGGTTACACATTCGAAACCGTGCTGAGGGCGAGATTAAAAAACTCAAGATTAGTTAAACTTAAGACAGTGCTGGTGGCGAGTGGTTTATCAAATCAAGACCGTGCTTATTGGGTGGGATAAATGAAACTGAGTCGATGCAAGAACCATGGCTTGATGTATTGACATGTAATTTCAGTACAATCTGGAAGAAGGAAAAGTTATGTTTGTACTGACCTAATGTTGAAAATATAAATATAACGAACAAGCGAGATGTTTGTTTTCCTCGTTTAAACACATTTTTGGTTATATCTCGGCGATTGGTCTTGAATAATTAACCAGCAATTACCGTTACTAATTTCTTCGCAAGTGCATCATTCCTTGATTTCTGAATCAACGTTGACAAATGACAATTAGACTAGTTGTACGATTAAAAAAAATATTATTTGATTCTTCAAGTCGTGGTAAAGGATTTTTGCAATACTAAAATCGCGTTACCCTTTATTATGCGTCTAACATCTATCACGGAAGCTAAATTAATACAAGCAATTCATGTTAATAACTAGTACATGAGTTATAAATTAAGCTGTTATTTAAGAAATTGCCAAAGCACTGAGGGTCTCATAGCATTATAGTCATCGATCTGTAAGCCTGCAAAGATTTAACGGACCAAGGCTAAAGAGTAAGTTCCGTCCAATGTTCGAGACAAAATAATGCTAATGAGGTACGAAGTACTGTGTGTTATTCCTTTTATTATATCACACCAGAGAAATTGCTTTATTTAAAAAAATCTTAGTAAAATATACTAAAGAGTGTTGGCAGTCAGCTTATATAACGCACTTAATAGTCCAACTTATTTTAGCTGTTCGACTTAAACGTATAAGGAACCACTCTAGTTGTCATGACACAGTTTTGTTGGACTGCTCAAGTCATCTTGAATATTATGCAATCAAAAGGCCCGCTGACATTAATATGAACAAGACAGTCTGAAGGACAGCTAAATCACCTTTCGCAGCAGACATGAATGTGTACTTATTGACCTTTAACATACCTTGATGTTGTGCCATGTATATTATAAGGACATAGTCTCATGATAGTAATTATTTGTGCCAAGTTTTTTAAAATCTTCCAAGTTATGAACATTTAACCTTGACCTTGGAGGTAGCAATCGGGATGTTGGGTTCTGCACATCATGTCATAATGGTGATCATTTCTGTCAAGTTATTTCAACATTTTTTCAGCCGTTTAAGTTATGGAGCGGACACAAAATGTAGACTTTTTAACACTTGACCTTTCAGTGTGACTTTGACCTTGTGGGTATCAACCAAAGTATGGCCTTTTGCACATCGTCTCATAAAAGTAATCACTTGTGCCAAGTTATTTCAAACAATTGTCAGCAGTTTAAAAGTTGTGGAGCGGACACGAGTGTTACGGTCGGACAGACGGACGGACTGACTGACAGACGGAGGCCATTCCTATAATGGAGGAACATATTCAAGATATGTATAATCTATCATATTAACTACTGATAAAATAAAACAACTCAATTTTCTGATTTTGAATTTTCTATTCTACATGGATATGAGCAAAAATCAAACGATGTACATAGGTGTTAATATCATACAATATGTACATTTATAAACAAAAACAAAGAACAAAAAAGCATAAAGAAATGTTCAAGGATTTACAATGTACTAAACAGTGACATTGGAAAGTATTTCAAACCAAATCCAATAGTACTGTGTGAAGATACCAGAATAAACAATGTCCAGCACTAGTAAACAAAGAATTTGGAGTAATTAATGCAGACTTATACGTGTCGGCGGTGTTTAATATGTTACATATTTATAAATGTGAGTATATACAAAAATACACATGAACGGAATGTAAAGTGTAAGCACCTGTTGAAAAAAATGCAAATAAATGGATAAAACAATCAAAGCTTGTCGACTTAGGTAAGCAAAGGCAAAATTTTGCAATACTGAGGAGAAAAACACATGAAATTATAATGAAAATGAATTACCAGAATATAAGTCAACAAAACACAGGAAAATTGAAACAAAAAAACACTAAGGATAAATGAGGTCAAAATAAAAATGGAAAAAATAAGTTAAGCGAAAATAAATAAATGAATAATACTGAAAAGGTAAAAAAACAAAAACCAAGCTGCCATTTGCAATCCTGAGAGTATGAAGAGTTTATTTGTATATTATTTATGTCACATATATCATTTACATGAGACATAAAATACAAAAAAAATATCTAAAGCAAACAAAGCTACATTATAAATAAGCAAACAATACTGGTTTTTTCTAGAGACAATTTCCTGTCACCATTTTATACGCTTGTCCCCTTTTACACAACACTTGAGACATTACTTTTCATATCAACTGAAACTGGCATTTTATAGATACATTCAACATCAACTGATCAATCATAGTCAATAAACAAAAATCAACACACATCGACAAAAAAGTATGTTATCATACAGCTTCAAATAACGACATCTACATAGAAAATAAAACAAAGCAAAACAAAACAAAAATCAAAAACTTATTGCACTTTTCCCGTATAACTTTACAATTTACAACAACAGTTCTCATCGGCTTCTTATATTGGTATCGGTATACCAAATTACCGAAAAGCAAAAAAGAAACACCACAAAGAAATTAAGAAAAATATCAACATAATACTGAAACTAGTCAGTTATTTTAACCAACTCAACTTTTATACATATATATCAACATTGTCAATCGTCAGTAATGTCACCATTGTTTACCGCCCATGTTTCCCAGTGGTCTCCTCACTGACTGAATATCATTGTTACTCAACTGCATATTCCGACTGTTCCTCTCTTGATTTAATGTATTTTGTGTGAGCGATCCTAACGGTCTCTTCTTGATAAAATTATCTGTTGCCTTCTTACTTATGACATTCTCCGTGTCATATTTTGGCATATTATTACTATTTTCACACACCCCAAACTGTGGAGGACGGATTTTCATTGGGGATGATGAATTTGTCTTACTCTTTTTTGGTGAATTGATGGATTTCAGTTTTTTCTTAGGTGAATTACACGTTGGATCGGATGCTGCTACACGTTTGATTGATTCTGGTATTACATTTATAGCAGAATCTGTATTTCTTTTAACAGTTGTTTTGTCAGCAACAGGTTCAACATAAACATTACTATATTGGTCAACCTTTTGGCCATTATCATTGTTACTGCTAGATTTGCACATCTCTACACTGTTGTTTGTAATATTTGTATTTTTATAATAAAGAGATTCTGGGTAAGTCTGTCTTGACTGGTCTTTAAATGTTTCAGTTATTCTGATATGTTCACCTGGTTCTGCTTTTTTATCCACGTTACCTACTGGTTCATTTTCTATGCTACTTTGTAATGTTTCAACAGCGTTACGGAGTTCAATTTTGTCGTCAACATCTACACGATTAAACGCATTTTGTATTTCCTCCCTATGGTATTTTCTTTCTGTCGGTTCGTTGTCATGTCGATCAGCATTTGGAGTAATGTTACCATCACTGTTGTCCATGTCTTGTTTTTCTTGCTCGGCTCGGAATTTGAACTGTCGTTTGTCGTGACAACGTTGTAATGCTGGACAGAATGGATGATTCTGTTGTAAATGACGGAAATGATCTTCTGGGTCCGCTGTAGAGTGACCACAGTCTTCACATACATACACCTGGAAATAGATAAAGTATATCCAAATAAATATATTATTTAATACATTACTTTTGCAGTCATGCTTAAATCATAGAATACTTAAAAATAAATTTCAAAAAACAACACTACGAAATGTCTCTATTTGAAATGCATGTATTATAATTAATATTATATATCAAGACATGATCTTCCAAAGAAACATCATATATCTGTCACGTTTAATAATACTAAGAAAATGTGACCAAGACACAATATGAATGAAGCCTGATTTACACTCCATCATTTACACAGTACTCTAAGCCTGATTAGCACTACACGTGTATTATACAATTTCTTTCTTTCGTTTTCTTCAATATGTAGTAAGATAAAAGCGGCATCGGTACCTTTGTTCGTCTTTGTTTGTAGCCGTATGGTAGGTCCATGCCGTGTACTTTCTTCGTGTGTGACTCTAGGGAACATCTCTGGGTGAATGCCTTCTCGCACGAGGGACACTTGTACGGTTTTACACCTGCAATATAAAACAGCTTAATATATATCTTTATGTATATCGCTAACAATAACATTTGCTGTGAAATCATAGGCACATTTAATTCTTTACAAAACATAGTAAAGTGCTTGCGATTTGAATTTCGTTTCGCAACTCTTACATTCATTTGATGGGCAAAAAGAGAATGTATATTCAAAACAAACTTGTACAGTGTTCTAGTATTTTGAATTGTCACCTTCAAAATTATTTATGTTTTACAGTATGAGACTGTAACTGGTCTTGGAAATCAAATTACTTGAAATGTATTTGTTTGTAAATTTACTAGCGAGCTAAAATTTAATACAAAGTTTTTTTATGTCGTTTCATTTGATATGAATTATCGTCATATAAAAGTATACACCAGTGTTGAAAATTTACATACGTTTTTAGTAGGTGAATTTTAGTAGCAAAGTTTGTAATAAATCATAACATTTCGAAGCGATGAATGCATTGGGGGGAGGGGGGGTGTGCACGTCTGCCTAAGATTATTCAAATTTTAAAACTTTATCAACAGCTCGGATAGATAACCGTTTCTCATTTATACCCCGGGAATTAATTCTGTTTTCAACTATACCGGCTCATAAACAATGAATTTGAGTACAAAGTCAGAGAGATCAGTTGAGGATAAACGAGGCTGTATTATGTATGACTTATTTGATATATGATCTTGTTTCAAGTTGATGCAGATGTTATATGGGTGCATGCCATCGGTGCATAATTTAGTACCAATTAAAATAATTAATCAGGACACTGTATCAACTAAAAATAATATAGGGAATGACTCCGTTTCATATTGAAACAGATTCGTCATTTTCTGCATTCAAATGCATATTAATCTGTTTCGAATTTTTACTTCAAATTCTTTTGAATGTAGCAAGCGACCGTCATAGTTAAAGTAACATTTTTATAAAGCGTTAAAGCACCACGCCTCCACATTTATGCTAATTTTCATGAAAATTTCGAGAGTGTATTAAAAAGTAAAATATTGTGAAGTTACCAAAAGGAAACAATTTATAAATTTTACAAACAGCCACCCCCGAATAAATTCCCGAGTACGGATCAACCGATCATTTGTCTGGGTTTGATTCTGAGTAACACTTATATTTTTCCGACAAAGTATTAATGATGACCAAAAGAAAGCTGTACAAAGTTTATTCCTGGACTTGCTGTATTCCTTATTGGACTTTTTGGAACAGACCAGTTACAATTTTTCAGATGTGCAGGCTGGCCTGGCTCTATACTGGTTAACAAAGGTAAATCACTTCGGTTCAAGCAGGTTAAAAGCTAATCACGACGTAATTGTTTTCAGTTGTTTTTTTTATATTTAAAACAGTGCCTTTTTTGCTAAACAGAAAATGTATAAAAGTGCTGAATAGCTATGACATGGTATCCAGACAGTCAGTGTTGTAATCAATGACTTTTTCAAGTTCAAAAAGGGGAGAGATAAAAAAAATTAGGGACGATGATAATATCTTTCGGAATCAGGATGAATATATTGATAGTGTTTGTTGTAAAATCCACCTGTTTGGAGTGTCACATCCATCATATAAAATAGCTATTTTCAATGTGGATTTTTACTACTATTTACATAACAGACCCTAATGGTTTATATATGGTAAAAAGGAATGAAAAGAAGAAAATGTGGTTTTATATTTTAAACGACAGAAAAATCTAAACTTTAAAGTTACCATAAAATCAGCGGCGTCTGGCTGATCAATGTGAACAATTCAATTATCACAATAATAAACAAATTGAAATGCCGTGTAAAAAGTTTTAAAAAAATCAATTTTTTCCCGGAAAAAAGTTTTCATACGTTTGCACTGTACATAAATAAGACAGATGTTATTTTAGTGTTAGCATTAAATCCCTTCCTGGAAAGGGAAATGTTAGTTTACTAAGTGGAAATGAAAGTAACCGGCAGATGCAGTTTCAAATATGGCAATATTTAACCATTATATTAACATGTAGCAAACAATTTATGATATTTATGATAGCTTAAATAGGATATGGCAAAAAAAAATATTCATACACACTCAGTATATCATTGAGCCCTGTAGTCACAAGTTGTACTTAACTGGTAAAAAAAACTATTTTCAATGATGCACATTGCTTGTTCGAATGCACATTGCCTATTTGTTAAGTGTTAATTATCGTTCATGTTTTACAATGAAAATTTAATACAAAGATAGGCACGTGCTTGATGTTGCCAAAAATAACTAACACCGACAGATGCAAATACGTTTCTATGATTTAAAAATTAGTTTGAAGACAAGCCATTTTAGTTGATTATCATAAAGATGAAATCTGAATATTTTAGAGTTCATACAAAACTTACGTTAGCAATTAACATTTGATACGGCCATTTAATACATTATTTGCAAACTGCCTTGTCATAATGAATATTTAATTTACGGTTTAGGAGCCATGTTAAAGATTAGCGTGTACAGCACGGGTTTTACGTGCTATACTATCGGTAAACTGTTCATCTTAAAGTGATTTTTATGTTATGTTAATTCGTTTAAATATGCTCGATGTAGAAAGTAAGATGTAATTGTATTGTCCTACTTCACATGCATGATGGGATACTATAGTATATACCCTTAGTCATGGATATAAACTTCTATCAGTTTGTACTACATATATTTTAAACACATTCAAACAGTGACCTTTTTGCAAACTAAAATTTCAGCACAACCAAAGTAAGATGCAATTTGTACACATTTGAATTTCAATTCAAACTAAAGTCACTTATGATTGGCTGATGACGCAGTTCAGTTTAAAATGGACCTATGGCTCACTTGCATTAAAAATAGTTCGGAATTGATTAAAATTCAATGGAACTCAATTTTTGAAGAAAAAAATAAAATAATTTGAGAAAATTCGGGGATTTTTTTTTTCATCTCGCCATTTAAATAATCAAAGCCAAGTTGAAATTGGACCATCTTTTCACCTATCTCATAGTGAGTGATCAAACAAACTACATACCCGTATGTATCCGAGTGTGGCGTTTCAGATCAAACGTGTCGTTGAAACCTTTCCCGCAAAACGTGCAGAGGTACCGCTTTGAGTCACTGTGGCATTTGAGATGGCGGTTCAGCAGACGTTGTAGCGCAAACTCCTTATTACAAAATTTGCAGACGAACTTTGATGAATCTGGATTTACTGAAGTAGAAAACAATGGGTTTTTTTAAATAGATTAACTTATATTTTTTTATTTGTTATAAAATATGTTATACATTTTCAATGAAAACGAAAATTAACATGACGGTATTGACCTCGAACCTTCACAATTTTATAAAAATTCCAGATATCTAGCTGACCGGGCCACGACTTTAAAAACCCCGAATTATGGGGTAACGGTAATTGATAACTTGCACAAATACAAATTTCCGGTGCCCGTGCTTCATCATTAACATGTCGTCTGCTCCAAAAGAGAGCAAATGATCTGTGCAAAATGCAACGGGCCATATGCCTCCAAATAACCGTTTTTGTCACCAAAATGTCATATCTTGCGGTCCATGAGGCGGGATTCTCTCCCTGCCGTCTTCTGGACATGTTTAATACCAATTTAAAATCTCAAGTGACCCCCATTACGTGAAAGGTTATTATTCTAATAGGAAGCACGTGAGCGGATTCAACAGATGGTGAATTTCGTTTTCAATAGCATGGCATTTGAAAAAGTAACGATGTTACCGTTGGACCACTAGAAAGATGAACAAATGCAATCAGTGAAAACAAGACAGTGATAATAATTACTGATAAAAAGGGGGTCACGACGACATATCTTTAAAAAGTTTAATGTTCCGTTTTAGTGAACATATTATCGGCATATGTGCTTTTGTAAAACACCAAAATGACCCCTAGGGTAAATGAGTCCAGTGAAATAAATTTCACCCGTACCATATAAAGGCAGACGACCAAATTATACGGACGACACGAGTCAAGATCATGAATATGTCAATAGAAAACGTATTTATTCGGTGACATGTATTTAAAGAAGCTTTAAATTTCAATCATTTGAATTTAAAAGCAACAGGTTTTAAGAAAAGAAAAAACCCGCCAAAAAGATGAATATCTGCACTGCCTTACAGCAACGGTTGATTCCCGTTGGGTGTCGCGACCTTAAGCATACGATCCGAATCTTTCTGTATATATATAGTGTATAATATTTTGTACAAAAACCTCTCCTTTTCGCACTTTTTTCTTATCAGAGATCCTATCAGATTCTACCATAGATAGCAGAAATGCAACACAAGTTTGGAAAAAAAAACTTTTAGATTCAAATCTTATAAATATTCATATCATTACAAAACCCCATTTTTCTTTTTTTTTTCAAAGACTTTGAGTAATAAAAAAAGAAACCCTCGATGGTGATATTATCTTTGTAATTAAAAACGTTGGTTGCGAAGTTGCCTAAATTATTCCATATAAGAAGCCAACTTACCGCATTGTTCTGGGAAATCTTGAATTTTTGGTGCACTAAAAGACGGATTTTTTATTCCATACCCTCCGTTGATAACTTCAACATTAGCGTTCACGTTGGTTGTCTGATTGGCGCTCTGTATTGAAGGAAGATATATATGTCTTATATAGGTATGATAAATTAAACCCAAAAGTACAACAAGACTAACACTATTATACATGTATGTAGTATTTACAATTATTCGAAATTTGTTTTACGAAAATTATTTTTGTATTGAGTAAACTTTTACAATATCATGAGTATATACCCATACCACATAAGGCCATATGTTTAAATAAGATAGAGATAAATGATCAAAATGATCAAAGTTTTACCTTCATCATCATCATCAATGGTGTAAGCGGCAGCTTTACTTCCGGTTTGATTGTCTGTATAACTGGTTGGTTCTGCAATGCCGATGTTGAAAGTGGTCGTCGGGGATCAACAAGACTTGGTTTAAGCTGAACGCTTGCATTTCTATCCGTAAACACTCGTCCATCTGAAGAAGTGCGCCCCACTGACCCAGACTGGGCGTGTCTTATTCCTGTCCCCATCGCGGACACGTTTGGTTTTAAATCTTCTCTGGAATGACTCTGATATCCCTCCATGTTACTATAACGAGGAATATGAAGAGAATTTATCAGGCCGGCACCGAGGCTATTTGGCGTCATAAGGTTCGGATTGAAAGCATGTGGCGTCATAAACATTCGAAGTTTCGGATCCAGCATTGGTACTGTAAAATGCGTTGGATCTCTGTAAATATCGAGGGATGGGTTGAACTGTTTCTTTAAATCTGAAGTAACTTTTTTCACACTATCCGGCGCGTAATATCCGGGTACACTGTCATAATTTTTAACTAGTTGACTAGAATCACATGTCCACTGACGCTGTATGCCTGGAACACGGTTTTGATGACTAGATACTATCGCGCGTCCGTTTCCGGTTATGTTTTCGCCCGCATTTCCAATCTGACTAGGTTTTCCATAATTCATTACAACTTCCGGTTCATTTGTATTAGCATGGGTGACTTGGGGAATGTGCCATGTTTTAGCTTTTGTCGCCTGCGGATTGGTAGTGCCAGTTTGTGAAGGTTTTGGCACACGAACATCAGCATTTCTGTAACAACTTTCTAAAACAAGTTTATCAGTACAGTTTAACTTTTCTGAATTATTTCCACACACGTGTTCCGAGGACAGAGGTCGCTCAGGTTGAGCATTGCTACTGTCCGATGATTGGCGTAATTCTTCACTTCTGCTTCTTACATGTTTAATATTCGAGTTCGCTGAAGAACTATTGTCTTGGAGTTGACCTCTCTGCGAATTCAGAACTGGTAATGACATAGTGTTATTTTGACTAGATGAAAGCTTATTTGTGAATGTTGAAAACGATGGCAAGACAGGTTTATCACAGTTTGATGGCATTGTATTAGTCATTACCGCATGGTGCGCTGCCCAAGTTTCTTTGACAGCGTCAATATAAGTTTTCGTCACGTTAGATAAAAATCCTTTCTGCGGGTGCGTTTGCACGGAGCACTGTTTTGAAATCGGCGGGCAACTATTTGAGCGGTATCTGTCTTTCATATCTATTTCTGATTCGGCTTCATTTTTTATGGGAGACCTTGCCCTTTCCAATGTTGGGTTATTCACTATATTCTGGTGTTTATAGCTATGCTTTAACGGAAGTCGATGTCCAACAGAAGCATGATATCGCACGTGAACCGGAAGCTCATTTGAGGAAGATTGTATATCACTTTGTGTCGTCTGGATAGGAATAAATTTGGGCTTCATTTCACTGGTTTCGTTTTTGTAGATTGTTTGTTGCACTGCAGAAACTAGAGGAGGGCATTTGCGTTCCTCCCGAACAGTAATCAGTTCTTTCCGCTGAACACTTAAGTCTGGAATAGGTGTCAAATTCCCTAAGTTAGGTGAAGGACATGGTGAATTTTTCGGTGTGGATGATCTGACTGGGTGTGGTAACGGTAACAGAGCTGGTGGTAATTTAACAGACTTTTGTTCCGGTGAAATCAATTCAGAATTACTATTTAAATACCGGATGTTATTTTGATCATTTCCTGTTAACATTTGTGTACAGCTCATACTTTTTTCTTGTCTGTTTAAACACGTTTTAGAATTAGTATCGATTGTGCTAGCGTTTTGGAGGATACCAAGAAAGTTTACATTGTTTACGATAGCTTCCGCCTTGCTGCGTTTCTCAATCAACCATTCTTGGCCGGAACTGCAATAGTTAGATCTTAGTAGCATTGGGGACTGTGCTGGTATGGCAGGTTTCTTATCACTGGATTTCCCATTGTCTAGATCGTAAGGTCGGAAAAGAGAGACTTTTTTGTCTTTTTGCGCGGAAGCCTTTGGGGACTTACTTTTCCTAGGTGGCGTAATCATTTCGTAATCACTACTCACAAGAGTGTTTAAAGCTTTGGTAAGAAGTACACCGGTGCTTTCTCCAACAGAATTGTTCATTTGCTCAAATTTAATGTTTTCTTTGTCAATGTAATTTGTCAACTTAGCATTTGACTTTGGATCTGTGCTGACATCATTTGAACTTGTCATGTTTAAGTCTGATGTTATTTTATCACTTTCAGCTTCATGTTTTATTCTTATGTTGTCAGGTCGTGTTTCTACATTTTGAAGAACTTTTCTTTCAGCTGACATACTTCCTGTATCCATATTGCCGGTGTATTCGGAAAACTCGGATACAACAATCTGATCAACTGGATGAATTGTGTCGTCTGCTTTAAACAGGCATTTTTCTCCTGTAATATATAAAATGAATAGATTAGTCAACAGTCATGGAAAATCAATTAACTTATCCAAAATAAGATCGTACTAATAGGCCCCCAACTCTTTAAAGTTGCTACATGTACCACAGAACAAGAGTACAGTCTTCAAACATTTAGTCACCAGTATTGGGAACTGATATCTTAGTAGCTTTGCATTTATAATTGAAAATACGCATACATGCATAAGGCAAAAACAACAAATAAACATCAAATATATATCTACAAATAACTGTGCTTAGGGCACATTCAAGGTGTGCTTTTATTGTATAATGGTATCTGTACAGGTGGCGCTTTTTGCAATCCACAGTGTGAGCAGAACAGCTGACTTCAAAAATATTTGCAAAGTTATTTAAATACGAACAAACACTTTTACTATTATACATCAGTGAGATGAAAAAAAATACATGACAGTTATCTTAAAGAAAAAAAACAAATTGCGTTTGTATGCTAAATGATACAAAGCATTACGGGTGCAAAGTTACTTCTCGTCTCACTAGTTCTTGTAAGATATAGTTCACTCCGACATGTGTTTCAGTCAATTTAAATAATGAAAATTTATCTCAAAAAGTTACTTTGCATTAACAAGATATTTGTTAAACAGTGGCGGTCTCGTGAAAGCATGCGAACGATAATCTTAACAAAACATCTTGCATTGTATTGTTAGAGATGTCTCAATATTTCAAAGATGTCCATCAGGCGACAATCATGTTGTCAACAGATAGTTGCAGTCTTTTTTGTTACAAGTTAAAGAATGGTCCCATCTCTTTTACGACAATAACGCGGACGTTTTTTCACTATTGCGATGCTTTGATAATAAAATTGAATGCAACGTGAAATTATCTTTAAACTCTTTTTAGATCTTTTCGGTATTTTATTACTTTTTGGAGATCCATCTGTATCTTATATGTAGATAGCCACTGAACCCCGCCGGATCAGATAGCAAGAATTCTATTTTTGTGCGCACGCAGACATTCCTAACGGAAATAGGTCTATTGTCGTAAAAACGGCAACAGTTACAACTCGCGCGCGTTTCAAGTTTCATTTTTCTTTCTGAAAGCAGGAAAAACAGAGAAAAAACTATTTTTATGATTTCTTTTTAGTTAAAAAATTCGTCTCGTTGTTTTATCTTTGAAATCTAAAAAGCGGCCCTTTATAAGATAATGACAAAAAGCTAAATACTTGCGACACAATTATTTCTAGATTAGCGGTGATAACATACAAAAACAATTGTAAAATATGTAGAGATGTCTTCCTCCGCAGTGTTATTGTATCAAGATCTTTATTGTTTTATTTTGTTTACATTTTTTTGTATTTTAAGAAACAATGTTTATGATACAAACAGACGAAGTAGATAGCTTCTGTAATGGTCACGAAAACTTTATAGTAAAACACGCAACCATATATAAATCCTCATTCCGTTTTTAACCTTACGTTAAAATTAACAAAAATGTTGATAAAAAATGTTTCAGTATCACGACATTTTGAACAAATGCAAACATTAAAAATAAAGCTCGCAATAAATAACACACCATGTCCAACAGTATCATTATTCCTGAATTTCAACATACATATATGATATTGTATTGTATCAAAAAAGAAATATATTTAAGGGAATTAAAGAATTTGCAGTTGACTACTTATGTTTTACAATTTATAAAAAATAATTTGTTAAAGTACAATAAATTATAATATTGAACTCAATAAACGCAGGCGCAAATATAGAATACTAGAAAATTGTTTGGAATCCAGAAAAAAAATCAAATCTAATTTATTGTTATTGATCTAGGAAAGCATAAAATTTCGCTAAATACTTCAATGAAGCGCGATATAATTTTAATGTAGGCTTAATATTAGAAGGTTTCATTTAGTCTATCAACAAACAACAAACACAACGAAAATGTGCATACCAATTCACCCTAAATATCAAAATTTTCATAATTTTTAATTCTGATCATGTTAGCATTTTAGAGAAAACAATCATTCAACAATCTTTTTTTGTCACGATAATTGTGTAAACCGAGAGAATCAAGGGAAGCAAGTGTTTCCTTGGTAAAAGAAAAAAAATCATTACAGTTTGAGTTATCTTTCTTTATAAATAATTCTTAAATTGAGAAAAAAATCGTTTGACTTACGCATTCAGGCTCAAATTAACTCCAATATTAACTCAGTGTTCATTCCATCACTGATTCTTACCAAGTGAACAAAATCCAAGTACACCCAAGAGATATCATTAAAGATAATGGTCAATAAAAACATCAAATGTCCGTTATGCAACCCTGCTTTTAATTTGAAATGAATTAATTATAAAAAGGACAATGAAATTATCTAAGATCAAAATTAGCCATAAATATACGGTATCAATTGATACTAATAATATCTTGACAGCAAGTGACGTTCCCTAATAGGCAATAACAAAAGTTAACATCAATTATTATACCCTGCAATAACTTGTAGCCCCCAGTGCAAGATTTTCTTCCGTATGCGCGGCAAATTTCTTATCAAATCTAAAAGGTCAATAAAAGGTAAATTAATCGAAATAATCTAATCAAAAAGACATATCGTTAGAGCTGTCATACAGGTGACCGTTTTTGTCTATTTCGACAGCCATCCATCAAAAACATAACTGGTCACCCCTATTTTAGCCACAGGGCGCAACCTCTGAAGAGGTCGTTGGAAGTCATACATGTTGTTTTTTGCCTCTTTTATTTCTGACGAAATACCAAACTGTTGACCACCAGTAAATGGAGATCATGGGTGAAAATCACAGCGCTCAGCAAATATTTGAATGGGTTAGAGGTAACGGAGCCCCTTTACTGTGTGAGAAAGGGGTCACCTTGATGACCCCTTTTGTGAAAAATGAAACCCACGAATGGTCACTTTATTGCCCGTAGAAAAAGGGGAAAGGCAATAGTTCTAATGTCCGATTTACGACACTGTCCGCTCAATTACGAATGGTAACTTTCAATTAAGGTCAATAACACTGGGAAACCCTTTCGAAAAAAATCTTTTTATTTTTCCTGTCATATTTCAAGTGTTCAAGATATTAGAATGCAATAACAGTTGAAACTTTGGCAATATTCTAGAGAATCCTCTTGATGGCAGGTTTTTAATGCAAATGCTAGTAATATTCGATATACCGCAAATTGGACAGCGGAAACGGGTGTGTCCGTCCAATAGAGAAACTTTTGAGACATTTCAACGGACAGTCTTTTGTCTGCAGCCCTTGTCCTTACATGTAGGGGTCAGTTTAGAAGGTGGCCCCTAATCTGACAGTGATTTATCGGGATTTGATAGTGCGAAAGTGCTAAAATATGATCACCAACTTCCGTAGTTTGAGTGACGGTCTGTTTTTCCAAACTGGATTTAGCAATGACAATATTATCATTTCATAAATACCCCCATTCTTTATCTCTAGCTATTAATGTCAGTTTATATCAATAGACGAGTGGATGACACTAGTCTTGTCTGAATTCGTAGTAGTTGTCTTAGTGCACGTGAGTCGTTAACAACGATTTAAAATATACCACCGAAATATCATTTTTATCACTAACTTTTTAAAAAAGATATGCTTTTGTGTGCACAAGCTCTTAAAAAAAATAAAACTTAAAACACAATTTTATTCCAAATTTTATTAAAGCAAAATAAATTAACAGTTAACAAGGTTTATGGCTTTAACTCTTAAATATCTATAATTATGTACGCTTATTTCTAAATACCCGGATGTCATTCCGAAAGTGATGTTTTTACTGCGGAAATGACAACGTTTAACGTTTAATGACAGTTCATCAAGACCCGAAAACATCCTGAGCACCATGCAATTAATATCCGTCAAAATTCTGTCGAGAAATTTGTTAAAATGAGTGGGACAGACAAAAAAAGGAACGCCCACGAGAAAATACATGAGAATGCACGAGTGGAATAATAAATGCACATTTCTAGTGCACTTCTCGCGACATGAATTTCCTCCTCTGGTCCTACAAATGTACTTTTTACGGTTAATTAGAAATGGCGACAGCGGAAATTGGTAAAGTAAATGTTTTAAAATTTCGATCAGTTTCAGAAGATATTTGAATTAGGAAGAAACTATTACAAATTATATATAAAGACAATTTAAAGAAACGGGCGTATTTGACAGGTGGAACCAACGGGTGTATGAAGTTATATGTAAAAGTTAAAAGGGGAGATCATTGCTACGCTTACATGTCAGTCTTCATGATATCTATAAGTTTATTATGCTCATATGGTAAATGTCATTTCATAAATGGTTCAGATTTTGTATTACAATATTAATTCTAAAAAAACACGGTCAAATAAAAAGGCAATGATACTAGTACCTCGATATCAACTCCAACTTAACGACTCCATGTAATACACTTGTTCACGTGATCTAACAGGCTGCTAAATAACACATAAATTTGTTTTTATTTAAATGCACTGCAGATTTGCGCACAGACAAAAAATATGCTTATCAAACACTGTTTTCAAGGATACGGTAATTTTCCCTCCATTTCTTGCAATTCCCAGAAAATATTATTACTATTGAGTAATAGACCGACATCTGTTAAATTCTTGTTTACTTTAATCTCTATCTAAACTCTTGAACCCTCTAGTGGATTCCTTTTCCTTTTAATTATTTCAAGTACCGTTGCGCATGTGCAATTAATTAATTCCAGTCTCAAGAAAAAGTGCGCCAAAACTTTCAGGAATCTTTTGTCTGGAGATGAAAATGATTTGCTATCCCATTTCTTAGGCGACATAGAACGTCGATGTAACCGCAAATCTTAAATTTCATTTTTGATATTTAGATTTCCTTCAACAAAGAGTGCAATTTAATTAAATATTGGAAACAAAATCATTCTTCATACTAAAGAAAGGACGTAATCCATATTCCGAAACTCAAATGACAAAAAAAAATAGAAATGCAAAGGTTATTTTTCATATTCGACAGATGATCAGCATCCCTTTTAATTGTC